CCCTCCCGGCCCCTCAGGTCTCCCTGCTCCTCCCACTCCTCAGGCCTGTGGGGTCCTCCCTGTGGAAATTGTTTCCTTGTGTCTGTTTCCATTGTGACTAGTCAAACCGCAAGCCAGGAAAGCAATGAGGTTAGCACGCCGGGTGCCAACTGTATCCCCAATCCAGCAAAAAAATATATACGACGTGTTTCATTGCAACTGACTTTGAAAAAAGCCCATATTCAGTGGCCTAGAGCAGCGATTTTCAACCTTCTTCACCTCACAGCACAGAAACTAATTATGAAAATTCTGCAGCACACCAAATATATGTTTTGTCGATTTGACCAAAAAAAATAAGTATAATTTTAATTCATTGACACCAGATGGCTATTGTTGTGCTGGCTGCTGTCATTTTTTATCTGACAATCTAAGGGAGAAGAGGCCAGTGCCCTGACTAAACAGTCAGGTATTGCACGTTTTAACAATTCTTGCAGCTCACTAGTTGGAAATCGCTGGTCTGGATGCTTTAGAAGTTGTATCTATCACAGGACCAGCAATCAAAGTGGGTTCTGATTTGTAAATAGTTCCTTTTTTTTTTAAAGACAATCTTGTATTTTATAACTTCTCTTGTGGGTCTGAGAATCACAAAGCTAGTGTGTTGTGTCAGAATGTAATCGGAAATACAACGGCAGTTATTGCTTAATTTTCCAAATCAGACAAGAACTCTGCTTAGGCTTCTACACTCCTAAGAGACATCCCACTTTTATAGCAAGCACTCATCCTTCACTTCTCAAGGTAACAGAACCGGAGATATTTTCCAAGATGCAGTGTTTTGTAATCACAAAGAACATGAACATTTTGTGGGAAATGATCCCGGTTTTATACATTGTAGCTTCTTTTTTAAAATACAATATTTTACTGGACAGGAAGTGTTAATATTATAAGCCGTTCCTGTCTCCAAACTAAGGGCTATGCCTCTTTGAAGCAAGTGTTTTGATGCATGTTTTTTCAGCTAACCCGCTGCGACAGGGCAGAAATGTAGATCAGATGGAGAGATTAGTACCAGGGGACGAGGATGGCAACAGCGACTCCTTCGATCATTACCAGTGTGTTTTCAAAGGTTTGTTGGGGGGGGCGGGGGGGAGAGACACTAGGAGTCATCCTATGTATCTCAAATCTAAAAAATGGTATAGATATGCCTATAGGCCATGGGAGAGAGATTCTTATCATTTTTTTAGGGTAAAATGATAGATTCTGCCACAAAGACAAGCTTACAATCCACCTTCCAGAATCACAAACCTGCATTTAACTAGCAGGTATCATTTGGCAGAAATTTCTAAAATCGTGGATGTAAGCCCAAAAGTAGACTTCTTAGGTCATCAGTGGTGTTTAAAATAATGTTGTCCTCAGCACCGACTCCATACCTTTCATTTCCTGATCAGAACAAGTGATTGTTTGGGAGAAGAACTCGCAGACACGCCAGGTGGAGACCAGAAAGTCACTGTGTTCCCAAGAGCCGGGCAGTGGGGAAGGAAGCGTGGGGAGTTCTCACCTGCACCCGATGTTCTGAGCTTTGCCAATCCACTCATCGTGCTGTGCAGTTTTTTCTAGCCCACTCACTGCTGACGCAATAAAGCATCGTTTCTTCCTAAGATTTTAGTCATTCAAAAGAGAGACAAATTAGCCAACTATGCAGGTAACATCAGAAGAGAAGCTGGGATAGACCATCATACACCCATTGGGCAACTTCTGTGCGGTGGCAGGGGGTCGCTCGGACCTTGCTTTCACATGGGCGTTAGCGCCTGTACGACTTGCACACAGGGCGCAACGTGGACGGTCCACCGGCCGCTGCCTGGCTGAGGCGGTCTGCGCATCTCTCTCCCTTGCTTGGAGCATCTCCGTGGTCAGCGTTAAAGTCCCCAAGAAGCGTTCGCTGCCGAGTGGTTTTGAACCAAGCGATTCGGCTTTGTCTCTAAGGAGAAGCTTCTTCATGGTGCAGAGCAGATATTTCCGAAGGGCCAGGCAGGTTGTGAGTGAACGATGATTCGGATCTGGCAAAGGACGGACACTGGAGGGTGGTGATGATCGTGGCCAATGAGGGAAAACACCCCCTTTGAAGGGGGACCCAGCTGTAGACAATCGGAACGGGAAGAAACCAGGCCCAGGGTGGCTAGGCCTTCTGACTTGGAAGTAGGGCTTTCCCTGGCATGTAACGCTCAGATTCTTGGCCGACACTGTGCAGGCCACAGAGAGCCTGTGAGTAGCAGAGGCAGCCTTTGGCCCCCAGATCCCACTGTTGGGGAAAGGACGCAGAGTTTGCATCCCACGGTCATTGGTCAAGGGCTTCTGTCAGCCCCACACCTGGCACTATGTGGGCAGCTAAATCAATGAAGGTAAAGAGGTCCATTCTCCCCAGAAATATTCTCATGGAAGCCTTGAATATGGAAACATGCTTCAACTAGCTCTGCCCCTGATCAAAATAAGCTGAATTATTACCCAGCTCTCACTCTGCTTCCCCGTCAGACCATGCCCCAGGCCATCAATCAACTGTAATCCTAACTTCCTTCCTGTCTCACCATGACCACTGTGGTGAGGGGTTGGCAAAGCAGCCTCGTGCCTTCGGAGGGGCAGCAGGAGCCCCGCCGGTTAAGATGGCACAGTAGCCTCCTGGAGCCGAAGCCCCTTGCCAGCCCCTCCACACTCCTTGTCCCTCCTTCCTGCCTCGTGCCTTTCACCCCAGGGTTCTGCTTCTGTGTTTTCATCTCTCAGATGGCCAAATCCTCGCTTGAAAAACTGGTAGGGACGTGGGTGTTTCAGCAGTCACTGATCTCAGAATGGAATTTGTCCACAGAAAATCGTAGCAGCTTTACCTGAGGACAAAGACAATCAGGGGTGAATGTGTCGTGGAGACACGGGATGTGGCTGCCTTCATTTGGGTGGACTGAGCGACGTTAGACTACATCTTACGCCGGGTCCGGATGGTGTTAGGACAGTCACATTTATAATGAAACTAGAGGCCTGATGCATGAAGATTCATGCAAGAATGGGCCTTCCTTCCCCTGGCTTCCATCCTGCCCCACCCCTGGCCACTCAGCACCTGTGTATGCAAATTAACCCACTTATCTTTGTTGGGTTAATTTGTATACTCACTCCTGATTGGATGGTGGGCGTCACAAAAGTACAGTCAATTTGCACCTTTCTCTTTTATTAGTGTAGATATGTCCCTTTCAAATGCATTGTTATTCGACCTCCCTGAGAACCCTGTGGGCACAGGAACATTTAGGGTCATCATCGCCCACCTCCCAGGCTGGCCTGGGGTGGCCTTGAGCCTGGAGTTGGCTCCTGCCTGCCCACCAGCTCAAGGGCAGGAGCTGGTTACCACTCAGACCTCCGTCTTCCAGAAAAACCAGCCATGAGGAGACATGGCGACCCCCTCCCCTCCAGCCTTTCAGCACAAAAGGAAGGAGCCCATTCATTCCTGTGCCAAATGCCAACGTGTCGCCCCCAAATGCACCCAGGGTGGCACAGTGCCACGTTCTGACAGCATCTAGGAGCTGACTGCCGACCCACGTGCATGTGGGCTCCTTGGGAAAGGTGGTTTTGAGGCTCACTTGCGCATTTCTTGTCCATGGGAACTTGCACTGGTCCAGGAACTGGAAAAACAGCTGAGTCACGGTGTGCAGGGATCACATCAAGTCCACGGACTGTCAACTCCGAGTTGGAAATGCCTGGGAACCTGGACACGTCATGTTTAAATGAAATTTAAACAGCCCTGGCGATGGCTGAGGCTTCTGTCGCTGGGAGGGATGCGCGTGGGCCAAGCCCACCCTTCTCCATGATGGTGCCAGGCTCCTCACCCTGAGTTCAGGGTGCAGCCACCCACCAGGAGCCAGAAGGGACCCGACCCAGCTGGCCCGCCACCTGCTTCAGGAACAGGTCTTTTGGTATATGTCTCTAAGGTGGCAGCACATGGGGGCGGGTGGGGATCTGGGGTCTTTCCTCCTCGGCTGGGGGCGCCCTGTGCTGAGCTTGGCGCCACACCGGCCAGTGGCAGGACCTGGGGCACGCACTGGAGGGGCGAGGAGAAAGCAGCCCCTCAAAGGGGGACAGTGGCAGATGCTGAAAGAAGACAAAGAGGGTGCACTCAACGCTTAAAGTGTAGTCCTTGTTTTTTAAAATGTTCTTTCCTGCCCTGGTCGGTTTGGCTCAGTGGATAGAGCGTCAGCAT